GCGTGATAATCTGAAACTTCGCAATATAAAACATGGCAGAAGGAGTTATATGCCTATATAGCGAACCGAACTTTTCCCAGCTTCTTTAGAAAGGAATCGTATATATGAGTTCTTGAGGTTTGTAGTAAACTTGAGGCCCTATAGCGGATGAAAGAATAAATCTTCATTGAGTCTGCAACATACATTATTAATGTAGAAAACTGGAACAGTATCGATGAAACATATAAAACCGATTTGCGAAGACTTTCAGAATTAAATGAATTCACCTAAACAAAACAAAATCAGAGACAGAAGCTTGGCTTTTGATGGATAGAAAGTCGCAAAATAGATTATTACTAGCAGCATGGCCCGACGTTGCCCGTGCTTTATTCAAAAATCGTACGACTCATACAGCAATCGCTATCACTTGACTTAAAAAGGAGTCCCCTTTGCCATGCTGATGTTGCTACATGCCTCACACTGCGAATTTTTTCCAAGCTCTATACCAAACATTAAATCTGTTACGAAAAAAGAACTAAACAAAATGAACACAAAACGATCAGCTTTAAAAAAAAGGACTCGTAACTGGAAAAAACGAATGAAAAAAGAATGTTAACAACAATACTTTTTCACACCCAAACCAGTTCTGCGGAATCAGAATCAACGTTTAGTTTAAGCAAGCGAATGAGCCAATTGGAGTAAAGTGCCATGCAGATTTAAATTTTTCCCACTTGTGACGAATGCAGCTATCGATTTTTTTGTATGCTAGCATGCTAGTTAACATTCGTGTCAGTCAGCTGTTGACTCTCACACTGGCCAATAGAATCTTCCTGCCTATTCGTGGCAGCCAGCTATAGGCTCTCACTCTGGCCAGTAGAAAATGGCCGCAAACTACATGAAAAACTGCCGTAGAAGCATGAAAAAATCGATTATTTCCATTATCGATAGGAGTTGGGAAATGCAAGGTCGGTCTTTGTCTTCCCGCTAACTTGGAGCATGTGCATGTAAATTTTGGTGCAAATCCGTCGAAAATTGCGGCCGTGCATTCGTTACACACACACACACACACACACACACACACACACACTGCCTTTTATAGAAAGAGATTATTATTATTATTATTTCCTTGGATTTCTGTTGTATACACATTTCCTTCCTGGTATCAACCAGGGATCTAATGTTGAAATGGTTTCATGACATCTTTTACTGATCATTTTTGTAAAAAACAAAACAATAAAAAACAAAGATCACATACATTTTACATGGATAAACCTCTTCGTAATGTGCGAGCCGTACTTGGGAGCACACATTTTTGTATTTCTTTAAGGCATGAGCTACCAGGAATCCCTTCAATGAGTCTATCGGAATCTTTTCCAATCAAACCGCGGGCTCCAACTATAACTGGAAATGTTGATCTCCTCAAGTGCTACATTTTTGAGAATTCCACTTCAAGATCCTTGTATCTTGATAGTTTTTGAATATCGTCAAAGATACAATAAAACCTGCAGGAACCGACATGCCAATAAGAAGATACATTCTGTTCTTGCGGTCTTTGATCATGATGCCTGGGCGATTAGCTTTGATTTGTCTGTGTATATTCTAAGGTCCAATAAAATTATTACCGATCCCATCTCATTAACCGGGTGTGCGGGTGATGTTCGTAGTAGTTTCATACAGTTTCAATAAAAGTTACGTATTTTTCAGTGCAGATATTGGCCCACTATATCATGCCGAGTTTTATATTCAGTGGGTGCTAAAAATATGCAACCTAATATAAAATGGTCAATTGTTTCTGGATATTTATCTCAGAATCTGTATTTCGGATTAACACAATTTTTTCGAATTTGTGCTTAGTAATTTATAGTTAGTAAGCTTTCATCCTGTGCAGCAAGAATAAAAAGCTTCTAACCACGTCTTAGGTAAAAAAATTATGGATACGAGGTCTACATCAGCTTCTTTGATACGGACATTTGATTGTACTTTCTTTTGGGTTTCTTTGTCGCTGCAGCAGGTGTATTATGGTTTAATTGCGCACCCACTTGAAATTCCTTTTTGAATTTGTTGGCTTCCATAATGGCTGAATGATGTTTCTTATTTCTTTCATGTTCTTTGACACATATCATCATCCATTCTTCTGCAGTTTCCAGGTATCTTTAAAGACAGTTTTAGCTTAACTAATCCTTTGCATTCTTCGGATCTGGGCACATACAGACGATCAACATCAGACTTAGGACGATACATGCAGTGACAAGTGAGAAAAAAACCTTTCGACATCCATTCGCTTAATGTCAGCTATGGTCCAATTATTATTATTAGTATTATTATTAAAAATTTCTTTGTAGTAAAGGTCTCGAGTATAATAAAAAGAAGAAAGAAATAACTGCAGGAACGATGAAAGTGAAAAAAAAGCTAACACCACGCGATATTAAGAAATGATCTAGTCAGCACGCAGTTAAAAATAGTGAAACTCATTCTATTGATCATGCAACCTTTCCATATACACCGCCGCTTGACTGGATAAGGAATTTACAGATTAGGACCTTTAACCGTTTCTCATTCTCTTTCTACGTTGGCACAATTCCTGCAAAAATACACAACAACAACAACATGGCATTTAGACTAAAAGATTAAAAGCATATCGTGTTTGAATGATTGTCTTCTCATTTAACAATATTACGTTAATCTTCTTCAATGTATTTCTTTTACATTTTTATTCTATTTTCTTCTGTCTAAGATATCATTACGAAAGGTCTTTAAAAAAAAATCGCTGCATTTGTCCACCGTTTCTAACGTCTGCAATGAAGCAATTCAAAATCTGGGAAAAATTTAAACTCTCGTCCCTCACACGACTCAACAGAACGATACCGAGCAAAAGGTCTGCACTATTCGAGCTGAATGACTTTTACAGTCCATTTTCCAAACGAGCGAACGACTCTTTCAAAATCCTGCATCTTTGCGTCGTGGTCAGTGATTTGTAAACACGACAGGATGCAATTAATAGCTATGCTCTCTTCCAATCAATATGGCTGACGGCTTGCAAAATGGATGAAAGCGGACCGATATTCAGAACAATGATAATAAGAACACTTGCTGTTATATCCCTAAACATTATTAATCTGTTCGTTCTTATTGTATTGGTAAAAACAGTTATTTACAACTATGAGCTTAGCACATGGTCACCCACAGAAATGATACCATAGTTAGCGAAACTTTCAAGTAAATTGTAAATGTGTGCTTGGAATATAAGCATTAATCATTTCGGGGTTTGCAAAATGGAAATTCTGAAAATAATCATAATAGTCAAGAATATTATTTACTTTGTTATTTGACAAAATGTACTTAGAACAAAATGTATTGAAACAAGAAAGTGTACACAATATTTATATAGTCTTTTGTATATTCTTGGAAGACCGTTCCTGGAGAATGTGTTGACTGAGTCGCAGTCGGGCAGAGTCTCTGGATTGAATCTCTTGATTCCTCTCCCTCGTCTTCCCGGTACCAACCATATTTATATGGTCGGTACTCCACTATGCAAATTAGGTGGATCCTACCAACAGAAAAAGAATTTTTTTCACATTGTCCAAAAAAAAAGATTAATGCGAACAAACTTTGGAAAAATTTTTAATTTTAAAAGAGCAATAATAAATTTTGTTTTATGAATTTGTTTTACACTAATCACCGTTCTATTATTGTATAACGCGCTCACGCATTATTTTTTTTATTATTTGATCCACCACGACATATTTGAGTAATCATTGGTGTCACCTTGCGCAGTATCTATTAAGAGTAAAAGGCCCTCGACATCGACATGATATCCAGGGGGAAAGCGAAACTATAAAGGTGAACATAAATCGGATTTAGGTTTATCAACAAATTCAGGAAAAACATTACAAAAGGCTCTAAAATATTTATGAGTAATATAATTGCTGAGATCAAATTAGATGTCTAACGTATCTTTTTGTGGAGTTCATGGAATTCAGTATACTTCAAAGATCGAAACAGATGATCAGAAACCCCTTGGGAAAGATATAAATCCATCTCTTCTCACCCTAGCTATGGGTAAATAGCAGAACAGACCCCAGTCACAGACCCTAACAACTTTGGTTGGCAACAGATTTAGTAGAAGGACAAATCTGAATTCAAAACAGGTCGCTTAGTCCTTCCACCCCAGTTATGGTTACATTTCAGGAAAGACTTAATCCTATATTCTTGGTTGGTAACCAGTCTAGGAGAAGGAAATTCTGATTTCAAACTAGCCTAGAAAGTGTTATGTTCCCTCAGGATATCTTGCACAGGAAACACCGATGTTGATGTGTCTGCAGTATATGTGGTAATATTCGAAACTAATGGGTTACGGGACTCGTGATCGTGACACCTGTATAAAATTACAGGTATGGGACTCAGTGAGCCTCGGCTTCGTTATTCTTGTATAGGACTTCTACACTAGATTGCTTACCATCTCTACACGGCGATTTGTTCGCAAAGAATGTCTTTAAGATGATGGGTTTGCTGAGGTTTACACATTGTTGGGCCTTAGCCTCACTCTTGAGACAACCGAGGTATTTTACTATTTTCACTTGGATGCAGTACACCTTCCAGTATCTCCATTGAGAGCTGTCAAGTGGAACTGGTGCAGATCTTCAAGTACTTGCAGTAGAAATAGCTTATCATACCCAGCCTCTCTATTTATCCCGACAATTCTTGTCGAAATGTTCTTAAATGGCACACAATAACCTGAAGGCATGACAAGAACACGAAAACTGAAGTGATGATCCTAAAGGCAAAAAAGAGAACGTGGGATAGGCCAAATTGTATGTATGGACAAACCAATGATCCTTGGGAAGCTTTTCTACAACGAACTGTTCCCAAACCTTTGACAACCAGGAGGCCAATGGATACGCTAGAAAGATACTATTAAGTGTAACCTAAAGTTTAGTGTTATTCTCATGAATTACCCATAAGAGGCAACCGGCAATTGAACAAGATAGCGTGTGCAGATTGACTCGAAGACCTTAGAGTCGATGGCAATATCTGTTTCTATGTCGCACCGGTATAACGATGGTTACCTCCAGGATCGGTCTGCAAAATCAGTTGAGGGCCTACGACTGTAACTCCATAAATACAACTTTTACCATCACTGAAATCGATGGGTCACTAAGAAGACTAATACCTCAGGAACATCCTGACAAATAAAGGAACCTAATAGAAACTAGAGAAAGTAAATGAATCAGCAATTATGGTATTAAACAAATCTTATTATTTTAAGACATTTTTATGTTTATACATTCTTTTTATAGATACAAATATTTAAGTAAATGCTGTTTTTTTTGTTTTTTTTTTATTCATAATAAACAGTATTAATCAACATTTACCGGCCTGAATGTCCGAGAAATTTTCATAGAAAATTTTTGTCCTACGACAGGATTCGAACCTGTATCCTATACGAAACCCTCTATATAGCCTGACGTGCCTTAACCGTTTTGGCCATAGAGGAGCATTCGGTTAGCAAGGTCGATTTTACTGTCTTTAAACTTTAATTTTCCATGAATCTCTCACGTACATTCATATCTGCTCATGGCGTATGCAAATGTAAACAAATGACGTTACACGTTATGAAATGGACAAATTCCAACAATTATTTTAAGACATTTTTATGTTTATACATTCTTTTTATAGATCTATAAAAAGACATTTTTATGTTTAGACATTCTTTTTATAGATACAAATATTTAAGTAAACGCTCTGTAAAATAAATAAATAATTAAAGATTTGTATCTATAAAAAGAATGTATAAACATAAAAATGTCTTAAAATAATTGTCGGACTTTGTCCATTTCATAATATATAAATCTTATTATCTCTCACGTTTAATTATAAATATCGGATAGAGTAATCAATATAAAGTTGTAGTCTCTATCTGTCTCGGTTTATCGTGCTCCTCCTAGGGTTTTGAGGATAGACCCTCATAACCACGTACATTCTGAAACTGCATTACCCAGGGAACTTAGATAAGTATATTTCATTTTTATCAAAGAGAGTTCCTGGGGGGCACACCTCCAACTGACTTTTCTCCTTTGATTTAAATTAAATTTAAATTTAAACAAATTAATGACTCTTAGATTACATACATAAGTATACTTAATTTTGATCAAAGGGGGAGGGGTCTCCGTGGGGAAAAACCCCGACGCACATTGAAAATTTATTGCCCTTTGATTTGAGTTAAATTTAAATTTAACGAGGAAATGACTCCTATCCAAAATATAGGAGAAAGACAGAAGATGGAGGTCACATCGGCAAGCTCAAAATGAGACAATATGGACATCAAGTTTGGGCAAGAAATTACTAATCAGTGGGTAGTGACTTACAATACATATTTGTTGCAACAATTCAAATGTCATGCCAATGTTGAAATCTGCTCATCATTACATTCAATCATGTATTGCATCAAATACATATCCAAGGGGACAGAACAAGTTGTTTTTGTACCAACCGGCTGATTTTTTTCTGTTTGATTTAAATAAATTTATATTTGAACACGAGAATGACTCCTATCCAAAATATAGAAGGAGAAGCCAGAAAATGGAGGTCACATCGAAAAGATGATTGAGTAGTACTGAAGTGCAACATTTTTCTCCACAGATAATAACTGATTTAAAATCAGTCATTAATTTCTTGCAAAAAATGTGTGATATGCACCAAGGCATGGGTAAGTCGGGTAGTTAAATATAAACTTGATTCATTATTATTTTAAACTGATGAACATTCCTCTATGGTATATAGATAAATTTAACAGCAGCACTAGATTGGCAACAAATTGAATTGGCTAGATGTAAGTGTAAGTTAACATGTTCTTTTTTCGCGCTCTTAATTTCCAGCCGACTTTGTTCTTCAACGATTTATATGTCGATCGCCATCTACTGTCTTCTTCATTCTGTTTTATTATTGTTCTCGATCTTTAATAATGATTTTCTTTTTCCTTCTTAGTTCACACTCAGTACCCACCTGTAACATAGTAGAGTTCCCCCATCATTAGGGTGAAATGATAAAAGTGTTAGTAAATCTGAAAGAAGTCTTTGTTGTTTACTAGTTTCCATACAGCTAATGTACGCCATTAAGAAGTTTGAAAGAAATATTTCACCTTAACCTTACTAAGGAAATAAAGCTGGGTTATTTGAAATTATTATTAGTCATGCCTGACATAGGCAAATCATAATTTGGTCAGAACAGTATTGAGGGATGTAAATGGATCTAGCACGATGGATTTAAAATATAGCACTCTTAAATACGAAACAGCCTTCAGTCGATGAGGTAAAAAATAAAACTGTGAAATAAAAATATTTAGTATTTGTCAATATACTAAAAAAGTTAATGAGAAGAAACTCGTGAAAAAAAAAAAAACAAAAAAAACACTTTGAAGAATTTCTCAAAAAAATGATCTGTATTTAACGGCTTATTACAAACTAGAAAAAATCTGTGTTCACTCGATTTCAATAATGTGCATATATATATATATATATATATATATATATATATATATATACATATATACATATACATGCATATTACATATATACATATATATATATTCACCATATTACATGTTTATATTACATGAATAATTACATATATATAACAGCATATAGAATGTTTATATTACATATAGATACATATACTAAAAATATACATATACATACTGAATATACATATATAAACATATATATATATATATATATATATATATATATATAACCGAATCTTACCATGAAGATTGCATTTCATATCAAATCGATTGTTACTAAAATATCTATTGTTATATAGCCGCAAATAGATTCTTTAACTTATATCAAGTACTTTTAGTCAATAAATTTAAAATACCTTATATATATATATATATATATATATAAACCATCTAAAAAATTCGATAGTATATATATATATATATATATATGTGTGTGTGTGTGTGTGTGTAAATGTTTTGATTTGTGTTTGTCTGAAAAAAAATCCAATTAACCAGTAGAGAAGACAAATTTATGAATAAAAATGACAATAGGAAAACTGGTAATTTACTTTTAATAACCAACATTACTGACAGAAATTTGGTTTGCCAATGGGATCTCCTCTCAGCGGCGTTCGTGCATGTCTATTTTTAGAATTTCTAGAAAATGACTCATTCAAAAATATTCTCCCTACAAACTCTTCATATTTCAGATACATAGACGACTCATTATTAATAATTCCAAAAAACACTAATTTAACGGATCTTCTCTCCAAACTTAACAACGTTGAATCTACAATAAACTTCACTTTCGAAACTGAAACCAACTACACTCTTCCGTTCCTGGACATTTTGTTAATTAGAAATAATAACGAACTCAATTTTGACGTTTACAGAAAGGCTACAAACAAAAATGATCTGATCAGTTTCTACTCAAACCACTCTTCAAAAATTAAATCTGGAATTATTATAGGTTTCTATCTAAGAGCATTAAGAATCTGTAGTCCCCAATATTTATTTAAAGAAGAAACATACATAGAAAACATATTCAAAAACCTACAATATCCATATCTTTTCATCCACAACGCAAGAAGAAAGGCATACAAAATATACAAACGAAACAAAACTAATAACACAATCCGCAATAGTAAATCACATGAAAACAGATACATAATACTACCGACCAATTCTGTCACGTCCACGATCCAGAATAACCTATCCCATCTAAATAATCTTGAAATAGTCACAAACACCTCCAAAACCATTATAGATATACTAAGATATTCAAACAATAATAGCACTAATATTTCTGAAGCAGGCATTTATAAAATAAATTGTCAAAACCGTTCATCCCAATATATTGGAGAAACAAGTAGAAGTTTGAAAAAAACGCATTTATGAGCACAAAAAGACCTCTCAAAAAAACAACTTAGCTAATGCACTAGTCATACATAGAAATAAATTCAACCATAATTTTGATTTTTTAAAAATGCTACACTCATAAAAAAAGAAAATAACTCACTCAGGAGGAAAATTCTGGAGAAGGCCGCCATAGAAAATTACCCAAATATTAATCTACGCCCAGGTTTTTTCCCCATTTCACCTTTCTTAACAAAATTACTGCTCTTACAAACAAATATACACAACAGATTCATAAAATCAAAAGAAAATGGTTGAATACATCCACACAGATATAATGACAATATTCTCCACACGTGAGAAATACTGACGTTTTTCAGTTAAAAATATGAAAATAGCGTTTGTTGCTAGGTACATTCTGTTTTTGTTTTTATTAGTTACTTTGTTCAATTAATTTCATTTTCGTATTTTGCTTTGATAAAGTCAACATTGGACGAAACGCGTCAGCAATTACAAGTTTTCCTATTGTCATTTTTATTCATATATATATATATATATATATATATATATAATATATATATATATATGTGTGTGTGTGTGTGTGTGTGTGTGTGTGCAAAATGATGTATAGACATAATGTTACGCTCTATCACAGCTCATGTGGCTAGACATCTGATTGCCCGAAGCCAGGCTTGAAACACAACCGATTTGCCATCAGTCGGATATTTTCCCTAAGCTATCATCTTCTGGCAGATTGGAAGGTGAATTTTTACGCATTAATTTTAGAATAAACGCGCCGGTGACCCATAGTGGTCAATTCATAGAAGTGCTTTTCAATCAGCAGTAAAAATCACTGTTTACAAATTCGTGCTTTTCCTTCTAAAGTACTATGTCTTCAGTTCATGAAGATTAAGCAGGAAACAGACTGACAACGCTGCTTGTAGATTTCGATATGCACTTTTATATTTACATATATGCTCTATCCTTGACATTAAGCATTTTAGCTCATAAATATAGCATACCTTAAAGTATATTTTATCATGTATATATATATATATATATATATATATATATATATATATATATATATATATATGTGCTAAATGTTTGTGTGTAGCATTTATTGAAATTAAGTGTGGCCATTGTATGCTAACTGTTAGTTTCACGCCTAAGGGGATCCTCAGACTATGGTCACTAATTCTCTCTCTCTCTCATATATATATATATATTACGGTAAAAAAAAAACGGTCACTAGGTAAAGGCGCACAAGAGGGTACATTATCTCGTATCCAGTATTATGGTCGCCATAATAAGATAAATGAATAATTTTCAATATGCAATTCTCGGAAAAATCCAAAGAAGTGTCTGTTATGTAATGAAAGTTAATATCAGTGATAGAACGTTTGTAAATATCTTATTGGACATTAAGGTCAATGCAGTGTGGCGACAGTTTGTTTTATTCTTGAATCCATCCCATAGCCTCAAGATTGCATCCAAGCATATGTAAATATATAAAACTTTTTTAAAAAATGCTGATTATGCTGATATTACAATGTTCACGTAATATATTAATTGCTGGGTAACGTATACAAAAAAATAATCCAAGTATCTATATATATATATATATATATATATATATATAATTATCTATTGAAATATCTTTCTGTTGTTGGTTTTCTGCTTGAAACCTGTGTTATCATGCGTGAGTGCCTGTGAATGTCTATCAACGATTTTTATACCTAATATTTATGTTTTCTTATTTGAATATATATATATATATATATATATATATAAGCATATATATGGAAAAATTCCACAAACAAACCACGTAGAGATACACAAAGACAAAGAAAATTATGAAAAATAAAACGCGGTGATTCTCACATAACACATAGGAAATCATTTAAAAACAATTGCTGGCAGCAACCCAAAAATTAAAGTATGTATGAATTATGACCCCCATAATTTTTTCGATAAGCAAATATGCTTATAATTACATGAAGCAAACTTACAGATTAATATTCATAATACGAGAACACACACACATAAACACACACACACATACACACACACACACGCACGTGTATGTCTGTGTAGATGCCTAACTTTATATTTGTACATAAATTCACTTCTTACAGCATATGTCACCTGATATTTCAAAAGAAACTGTATTTATATTAACGCGAAATAAATACAAAATCTTGAGTTTTTTGCTTCTCAAGTGTATCATTAATCACTGAGTTTTGTACATTTATGTAGAAATGTTTATATTTGTGCAATCATAATGATGATAAGAAAATTGATAAAGACATTTATTCGTGAAATATATAAAAAAAAATATTGTCTCCGATAAAAGTCAAACCTAACGATTTTGTTTTAAAAAAAATATGTATTTGCACAATTTTGTTTATAATGTTTATTTTTTTTAGGCGGGTTTTGTAGACGTGAAGCGTAATTGTTTTTATTGGGTAGTAAGAAAACGTAGGAACACTTAAATCAAAATATCTAAACCTTCTGACTCATCAAAAATGAAACTATAATAATTTCTATCTATCCTATACTGACTTTTCATATCTGCCTGTCTGTCTATCTATGTATTTATCTATCTACTGTGATTTCATAGCAAGCTATCAACTGTTGTTTCATATCTATTTATCTACTGTGCTTTCAAACCTATCTACCTATTCATATCTATCTATCTATCTTGTACAGCCTTCTTATATCTATCTACTGCCATTTTATATTCCTATCTATCTACCTATTCATATCTATCTACTGTCATTTCGTGTCAGTCTACTGTTGTTTCATATCTATCTATCTATTGATATTTCATATCCTTCTGTTTACAAAATATTATCAGCAATAACAATTTTTTCAGCATTAAATAACCCATTGATGTTGATATGCCGTAAAACAAAAGAAACCGACCAATCATAACTATCAATCTGTGTGCCTTTTCATAAATATCTATCTATCCATCTATCCTATACTGCTTTTTATATCTATCTACTGCCATTTCATATCTATCTATCTACTGCCATTTCAAAACTGTCTGTCATCTTTTATCTTTATATCTACAAATCAATTCAAAATCAATCAGTATCTATCTGTTGTTTCATATCTATCATCTATTTATCCATCCTATACTGCTTTTTATATGAATCTATTATCTAAATTATCTATTTAATATTCAAAATCTATTTTTAAAATTATCTTTATTTCAAAAACAATAGATGTCTACTCTTTCTTTCAATTCTCTTTATCCATCTATACTGTTTTTATATGTATCTTACACAATTTCAAATCTATCTATATTATGGAATTTCAAAACTGTCTATCTATCTTTTCATATTTATCTCCATCCAACAAAAATTTTATCAATCAAGTTTATTAATTTTTCTATCTATCATTCAATTTCATATAAAATACTGTATAAATATCTTCTATTTAAATTTCATAAAACTATCTATCTATGTTTTTCATATCTATTGTCCAGAATCTAAACATTTTTCTACTGTCAATTCACATCAATCAGTCTACTGTTGTTTCATATCTATCATCTATTTATCCATCCTATACTGCTTTTTATATCTATCTATTGCAATTTCATATCTATCTATCTATCTTCGGCCATTTCAAAACTGTCTATCTATCTTTTCATATCTATCTATCTACTGTCAATTCACATCAATCAGTCTACTGACATTTCATATCTTTCTATCTACAAAATATTATCAGCAATAACAAACTTTTCAGCATTAAATAACCCATTGATGTTGATAAGCCGTAAAACAAAACATACCAACCAATCATAACTACTTATCTGTGTGCCTTTTCATAAATATATATCTTTTCTTATCTATCTATCTATCTTTAAGTGATGCTGAACTTGGTAATAGTGAATGATGTGAAATTATTCAACTTTAATGCGGTACAGGCTATCCAAAATAAATCGCATTTCCATAGTAATATACAAATCAATGAATTGAAATTAAATTTCCAAAATGAAACCAATTACCAAACAACCTAATTTTGGAGGAAATCCCATCTTGGTCGACTCTAAATCATTTCACCATTCCTTTGTAAACACTTATCTATAGTGAACAAATTATCGTAATAAATGGGACTTTCTTATATTATATTCATTATAGTAAATATCTTCCGTTGATAATTTAGTCAGCTATTTTTTTAAATATTGGATTGTTTCTATTCATTTCATATTTGTCGTTGTGGAATATTTGTAGTTTAATGCTGGTGTCTGAATTAATAATTTTTACAATTTAATATTATTATTACTTTTCTTTTCAGTATACTCATTTATCGGTTAAATGAAAATATAGTAAATATATGCATTCTACTGACAAAAATGTTGATTATTTACACTATTTTGATTTGGACTGTTTGTCTCATCTTCGGTGCTGTAATCACAACGTTTCGCTCGTTGTACCCTCTGGTCTTCATCAGGTGTATATCGGTCTGGTTAACCTACTGCGTAACCTAATCTGAACACTTTATTTAATCTACGGTGTTCTCGTTCCACTGCCTATGCATAGTCTAATTCTTATTTTTAGTATTGCTCTGTTATTTCTCGGCCTGCTTTCCCCTGAGTCCAAATGCACACTGCCAGGCCCAGGGATTGAACTCACAATTATTATGTTATCAAACTCATAAGCCAACGCTTTAATCCAAGTGATATTACAGTTTTTATATTTTCTTTACAACACGTCTGACAAAAATGTTCCACCAAAAGAATTTGACAAATTTTCGAAATATAAGGAACTGCAAATACATATTGCTAAGATCTCATTCTTCACTCCCACAAAGCCATTTTTCATCATTCTTCTTAGGAAGCGCTTGTATACGGCTGAGAGTTTAGATATTTCTGAACGGTTTTGACGCTATGTATGACATCCATATCAAATCTGTCGAGGCTATTTAAGTACATGTATGTTCATGTATTGGTTTTATAAAATTTGATGTTTCAATTCTTATGAATTTGTTATGTGTTTGGCGAAGCTATATCTGGCACAGTCTATTCTATGTTCAATTTCTTTTTTTCTTTTTCTTAATTTGTTATAACTGATCCATGCGCCGATGTATATGAAGTCTTTAGTATTTACTAATTCATCAATACATCATGACATATCATCAGTACATTAATATCGTCCTCTTTATCATCATTAACATTCATTAATATAGAATTTACCATCACATTGTCCCCATCTTAAGTACATAGCCCTCATTTCTGTCATGGATTCAATATAAATTATCCATCATAGTTTCATTTCAAGGTCTATCATCAGATCATAGTTTCTGTTTTGGAAGGTCTATCTTATGTCTCATTTCTTGAAGCATTATAATTATCAGTACATTATTTTCGTATTTATATATCAATATAACTTTATTTCATTAATTGTCCTCATTATCATAAGTAATATATTTTCATCTTATCATTAACAAACATAAATACATATGTCGTCAACATAGCCCTCATTATCATCAGTACATTAACATATCATAACCCTCATTATCATCAATACATTAATATAGTCCTCATTATCATAAGTACATAGCCCTCATTATCATCAGTACATTAATATCGTCCTCTTTATCATCATTAACATAACCCTCATTATCATCAATACGTTAACATAGCCCTCATTATCATCAGTACATTAACCTACGTTAAAAGAAAACATTAGAATCGTTTTCTTCTATGTATAGACTCGTTTAGAAAGTTGTCTGGAATGTTTACATGGTCAGTGCACACCTCATCGTATCCGTGTTTGTAAATGCGCAAAGCATAGTCTCAGAAAATGATTGCGTATACTGTGGTTCTCATTTCTTGTTTGTTGTATTCCCTGATGAGGTTTGAATTCGGCTCCTGAGTCATTGATTGATTGGCTTGTTTAATGGCATATCAACACCTTATGGCTCATTTAATGCCGAAATTGAATTTTTCCTGGGAGATTTGAAGTAATAAATATATGATATATGTTATTATGCTTTCACAATTGAATGCATGGTAGATGACACTCAGTTTTTGTACATACACATGTTTATTGGGGACATAATTACTAGATGCAAGGATATGTGTGTTTATCGTATATGGTGATAATGATCGTTTTGTTGAAGTGATATTTTGGAGTACCGTTTGATTTTAGAACTTGTAGGATATTATATACATTAAGGTCCTGAAAGTGTTCTTTCATGTTGTTTGTTTGGCTGGCTGCTTTCGTTTCGCGGTATATCAACCTCTATGTGTTATTTAATGCCGAATTCTAAATATTTTAAATACAGTTCTATAACTTTAACTACAGATAAAATTTTGGTCATTTTGCCATAAAAATGCGTTGTTGGTAATACCCCCCCCCCGGGCCAGGTTGGATCTTGGAACAACAACAATTGAGATGTGGTTCCATGCACCTCAAAACATCCAATCTGGAATTGGTTTCTTTGCCAGACTTGCAAGATTATGTAGATCGATACAGTTCCTTTATTATATTTTGTACATTCGGAACTAAGATGGCGGTTTTTTAATAGTTGTACATACCAATAATTTGTAATAATTTTTCCTGCGTTTATAAAGATGTATGAGAACAGGAGTTGCCCTAGCAGAAGAAAATCATTCGATTGAACAGTTATGGAAGTTTTTCATTGATCACTGTCTTTAATCGGTCCAACTAAGAACAGTAATTGGAGGCATCAGCTGAATTCAATTTCCGATGTTTTTGGAAGGAGCTCACAATCGACAGTTCTCTTCAAGTCCCACAAGATACACAGCATCACTTTTTAATGCAGACCGGATTTTGGAGTAGTTAACGGTGGCTCATTTCGATTTTCACGAGACCTCTGTCGTTCCACATTGTTGTAAACAATCCACTTTTTGTCGCATGAAATCCTTCTTTACAAAAATTGTTTGTTTCTGCTGTGTTAAAGCATAGAAAGTGGTCTATTACTTTTTTCATTAAATGATGAGACCCCCAAATATTGTAGCGATTCCCGTAAACAAGTGTTTTATACCTTACAATGTTCATAGGAGATATGTGAAGTATCTCCGCGATGCCCCGTGTCTCTATTTGGACATTAACAACGACTTAACAAAGACTGCAAGAACGTTCTCGATTTTCTACATCAAAAATGCCACATGTAAACCTAATGAACAACTTACGAAGAAACTCTTCCCTATATCATTATCGCCATATACGATACATTTCATTTTAGCTGTCTGTACAGTAAGCATTTGTTTTCTTTCTCACAGTTGGTATCTTGATAGTCTCCACGCAATAGTAGCAAGATTTCTGGTTGGTCTCCAAACAAATAACACCCAAGAAGTAAGTGTCTAAAGGGGTTGCGAATTAGGAGATCAAAGAAAACGTATTTTTGTGAAACGGTCCTGAAAATATTCGGCCAGATACTCATTGGTCAGCTTGACCATATTTGTGTGGGCAAATTTATGCTGCAATAGATACAGCTCAATCCAAGGTTTGTCTAGCGTGTACAGCATCTTGATATAAGCAGAGGTATTGACCAAGATACACGGTACGAAGAAATAGGACAGCATAACATGGCAAGGTCATCACAGACGAGGTGGAATTGGTTTGCACTATCGTAGATACGTTGAACCTAGCTACTTTTAAGGAATTCGTGAATCAGTGGAGCTATTCTTGGCCGGTTCCACATCGCAAAATCTTACAGAATCAACAAGCAGCAGAATATTTTTGGAAGGATTCTTTTTTTGTTTGGGAAAAATTTAGAAATCTTCGTATTTAATAATGAGAATATTCAATAGTTTTCATTACGTATCGGTTAGTTCGGGACGCTAATTCCGATTATATTTTTAGTTTATAGTTTTTCTTGGTATTTTAGCCTTGGATTTTTTTTTTGTTGTTGTTTTTTTTTTTCAGAAAATTAATTTAAAATCTGAGAAACGATAAAGAACAACAGGAGAGTTAATAGTAAGAAATTAATTTTGAAAACGTACATAAAATAATTTCCAGAGCGTTTAGCTCTGAAAATTGTCCTATCAGGGAATGGAAAATGTGAAACTGAAATTTGAACACCTACTGAACTAACGAAAGATGCCTTCCAAAAGCTAAACAAAGTAATAAAAAGCAAGAAAAATTCGTTAGAAACAAAAAATAAAAAAATAAAAAAAAATAAAAATACTGAATACAGATGAAGGGG